TAAAGACTAGGGCTGTGCGAAGCTTTGGTCCCTGATTCGATTCAACAGAGATTTGGCCCTATTTGGTGGCCAAATCTCCAAATCTGAATTGAATCAGAGGACCCTTTAATCTCTCCAAATCAATTTGGAACCCTCCAAATTGATTTGGAAAGATTCAGACAGATTCAGTAATTCACATATAGAGACAGCTTTAAATGTGTTTTATACATACCTCTAGGTAGCAGAGGCTCTGAATACTGTGATGCTGGGGCAGATGCAGCATCTCACAAAAGCATGGGGGGCTCCCCAGTGCACTCAGCAGCAGACCCGGAAGTGGACCAGAACCACTTCCTGGCCCCCCTCCCCAGGGACTGGTGCCTCCTGGGTCTGGGGGGGCACCCGGCGTCCCCCCGTGGCTGATCACTGAGCTGGGGGGTAGGGGGGGCCCACGGGTACTTGCAGTCCACTTCCGGGTTCACTGCCAAGCGCTCTGGAGAGACCCCCGTGCTCCTGTGGGACGCTCCATCTGCCCCAGCATTGCAGCAATCACGAGCTGCGCTGCTACCTCAAGGTATGTAGAAAAAAACTTTTAAAGCTGTGCCTGTGTCCAAATTGCTGATTTGCCGAATTAGCATCAAATCTTCAGATTCAGATGCGGCCGAATTGAATCAGGGACAGTGATCCAAATCAACAGATTGAATCACTGTCTCCAATTTGGGCCGAATCCAAATCAAACAGGGCCCATTTCACACAGCCATAATAAAGATTTACCCTGCATCTAGGTGGCAATGCAATATTTTGCAGTGCAGGAGATCCACACTAGGGAAATCAGGATATTTTCTTGATGATGTAACTCAGGTTTTGTCTACATGTAAAAGTCATTCTGGTTTAGTCAAATATGTGATTTTAGCTATTTTTACTTGGCCTAATGCAAGCCTGTGTTTGGATTTTAGTAACTTATTTTAGTTTACATTAAACTAATTAAGAATTGTCTTCATCAAAAGCAAAATGAGCCGTGCTTAAACTGAAGTTGGACTGTCCAGACAGCCTTTTGAACTGATTTAACTCAGCCAGTTTACAATAATATCAATGCAGTGTGGATAAGACCTAAGGGTGTGGACATACAGACCATTTAATGTGGAGCAAAAAGGGGCAGTGACTTACCACATTATGGCAGGGCACTGTTGGTGCCTGCCATTTTAAGGGCTGAACCAGACAGCCAGCAGGTGCTTGATTGCGGCAGCCATTTGGAGACACTGGCTGCCTATATAAACAGAGCAGATTGCTGCTGACAGGGCAGGCAGAAACACTGCCTGGCTGAACTGCTGAATGGGACAGCTGCAGGTAGGAGCAGGAGGCTCATGGTCCTGGGCATTACATAAACTGCACCCTGCTGGGAGTGGGTCTAGTGAAGCTCCCAGTGGCACGGGAGTCCCCAGGAAATACCAGGCTGTTACCATCGGGGTGGAAGGCAGGTCGGGGTGCCTCAAATAACCCCTAGCCCTCACATCAGTGTGGGTAGAAATCAGGGCCAGGCACAGCTACAGCCACCTGAGCCTTCACTGGGGAGGGAAGCCCCGTAGCCCCAGTGAGGGGTAGATGTGGAGCCCCAGTGAAGGAGGGAAACCAAAGCGCTGAGAGCCGTGTGTGTGTGTGTGTGGGTGGGTGGGTGTGTGGGTATGGGTGTGGGTGGGTGTGTGTGTGTGTGGGTGGGTGTGTGTGTGTGTGTGGCTTAAGGGGGCTTCTCCGAGAGGGAGCCAGGCAGTATATAGGTTGTCAATGCATGAGAGAGACCCTGTGAGGGGGGTTGGAGCATGAGAGGCCCTAGTGAGAGGCGGGTATGAGTGCATGTATGAATGAGGCCTAAGCTTGGTCCGGCTGTAGGCCGGGAGCACTGTGTCACCTGAATGCCATCTGCGGGGCTTGGGCTGCGGTGTAGGGGAGAATCAGAGCCACAGAGAGTGCCCCCTGGTATTGGGGCAAGAAGGGGCAGCCTCCCGCCTAATTAGAACCAATTATGAAACAACAGGGCATGGCAGGTGAATGAGGCAGGCAGTTAGCCCAGGAACAGGTGGGCGGGCCAATGGAGGACTGGCCCTGAGAAGGCCCCCTGTTACACACATGTTAGCTGCTCTGTGGTAAATGCATATATGCACTCTCTGATCTTATGGGAGGTGGAAGGTAAACACAGTTGCTTAGTGCAATTTAAGCGTAAATTGCCTGAGGTTAGCTTTCATTTAGGACATGTTATTTTTACCTTTGAGTTTCTAATTTACGTATTGAAAATTTCCTTTTTCAGTTTTGGAAAGTACTTTCTGATTCTACGTCCCTGTAAATATGGGGCTATTAATAATCATGCTAGACACTAAAACAGCATAGTGTTGACAAACTAGTACACCACTTAGCATTTTATCTTTCTGTCTGTCTGTAGGATTTCTTTTTTTAAGTTAAAGATGTCTCTGGATTAACGGTTGTATCCAAACCAAATTAGAGCTACATGCTTGGCTGTCTTTTAAATCTGCAAAGCAAGACAGTGACCCTTTTAGAAAACTAATAAATTAACTTTTGTTTTAGTTTAAAATATTTGTCCTCTTCTTGAAAACCTATTTTCAGGAAACTGGGAGTGAAATGAGTCTTAACATTTTATAGAAAATTTTTCAGAAGGTGGTTCCCATTCTTGATGGTACAGGTTTATGCCTCCATTTGAACAGCTGGTTCCAATCTGAATACCAGCACTTCTACGCACTTGTAAGCAAAAATCAGAATGTTATGGTTCAATTGATGAGATTTACATTTGGAAAAAGGGAGGTTGGGCTGAGTTGGAAATATGCCTGCAAATAAGATGCATGAAAATCATAATAAAACTGAATTTCTGATCCGTAAAAAAACCCCAAGAAACTTGCACCTAAATTAGCTTTTAGTAAATTCATCATATTTAAGGAATACATTTAATATGTATTGCTTATAGGTTATAAATAATCTTAGTAGGTTTTAAGGGGCCAATACATGAAAATGTACAAAAGCAAATTAACTTTGTGATGTTTAAATTCTCAGAAGGTAAAACATCTTTCAGTAAATACATGACTCTTGCTTTCTTTTCAGAATGTATCCATCGCTTATATTGGAATGTTGTTTGGTGGAGATTACATATTCTCATTTTTAAACTTCATAGGACTGAATATTTGGTGAGTGAAATTTGCTAAACTAAGGACTCAGTGAGGAACAGTTTGGTATTTGTTTCAGTTAGCCGCTTGGGTAATGGCATTTTGAAACACATCTGCCATATGCTGTTTCAGGATATAAAATTCTGTATAATTGGTTTTATTTTTTATTATATACTTTTATGTTTATTTCCACACATGTATGGTATCATGGTAGGATTTTGATAATTTATATTTACTGCTATTACTTTAGGGATGTGAGCTCATTTTTTATGAGCAGGGTTGGGCCTGCCCAGCACTAACTTGAGAGACATCCAAGGAAAATCTGAGTGGTGCAGGTCATGGGAATATTGATTGAATGTTATTCTCTTCCCTCCAAATTATTACAAAACCATGACGCCAGCATGGTGTAGTTTCAAGAAGAATAATCGTTACTCTTTTTTTCTTTAATGTTTGTTGTAGTTTCAGTGCTTATTGGCTGCTCTATCCCACCCTATGTGAATCCCATTGATTTTAGTTCCCTATAATAGTCAGGGCCATATTGGCAAATTTATATAAATCAGCACTGGTATTAGCTTCTCTAAATCACAACAGCCAAGAATCTGGCTTTTAGTCTGCAAAGCACTTCAAAATCCTTTGGAAATAAAGCTACTATAGATCTATAAAATGGTCATTTTTACCACTGCAAATACCCCTGACATTGTGTTTGTTCTTTCTTCTTTAGTATGGCAGGAGGACTAAGATACTCGTTTTTAACCTTAAGAGGAAACATCAAGCCTAAGCAGCCACCTGATGAAGAAAACACACTGCTTGATTCAAAGAGCTAGCAGAAATGAATGGCATGAAAAGCAGTGAAGATAGAAGCTGGCCTAGCTCTGCTGTAAAGTTTTTAAAAAAAGGAAAGAGAAAAAAAAACATTTAGGAATGTATTTGAAATGAGAAAAAATCTACCTCAGTTGAAATTGTAGACACATCATAGACTCAGAACTTTTCATACACAAAGAGTGTTTTTGTGGGACTTTTTTGCTGCACAGCTAACCTGCAGCACTGAACAATATTGAACTGTATGTCCAAAGGCATTGGCTAGCTATGATTTTCTGTATTCTGCTTGATACTGAAAGTCCAGAAGTCCTTGCTCAGTTTCCATCAGACAAAGCACCCTTTGAAAACCAAGGGGTTCAGTTCACCCACTACTCTGCATCTCATGTACTCGTTTATGCTAGCATATTTAATACTGTTGAATCAGAATAGATTTCACCCACTCTGCAGTAGCTGAAATAGGTAAACAAAGCACAGGGTAATGTCGAATTTGACCCTGAGAGTTGCTTGTGTAAGGAATGAATGAAACTGAATGAAGAACTCAGGATATGACTCAGTATTTTTTGAAAAGAGAGTTTTCCCTCTTACCAGTTCTTTCTGCCTAATACTTCCAATTAAACTGCCATCCTCTGTGACATCACAGTTTCCTATCATAATTGTGATATTACAAATGGATTATCTGTGGCTGGACAAAATAAAAGGAAGAGGGAGGCTGAGAGAGAAATTTGATGTTTAAACAGAAATATCTTGCTTAATTAGGCCCTGTCATATGGAAAATCATGAAAGAGACAAGAAACGTAAATCCATTTCTGTTCTGGAACAATATGTACTTTGGTGTCAAAGTCCCCTTCTGAAGATTTTATCAATACTGACTGCACAGCAAGTGATACTATTGTGAGCTAACTGAAGCAGAGAAAAATGAGTGCAAATTGAAAGTTGTCACTATGTAATAATGTGTCACTGGCACACAAATGTTGGTGTCCATAGTATGCCATGGATGCATTATAGCTAAAAGACCTTTGTTCTGTCTTTGAACTCTAAATTCAAGACAAATTTGCCCAATCATTTGCTAATGAGCACATGATGTAGTTAAAGTGGATACGGGTTGGGGTCTTATTCCTGCTGTCAATGTGGGTTAATAATGTAACTTCTTAACAATAAAACTTTCCTTATCTGAAAATACAAATAAGTATTTGCTTATATCACTGGAGGTGTAGCGAAGCTAAATTGATTCGTTTTTGGAACTGCCCTTTTTCCAAGAATAGCCAGATGACAACTGCCATTTTGCATTGCATTTTGTGTGTTAGGCTGTTGTGAATTCTCAGGATAGCAGCCTACTAAATTAAACCCTTTAGGATTTAGGTAGGGAAAAAAAAGCCTCGCTTCTGGATCCTCCTCTATTTTAGGATTTTTTAGATTATGCCATAGGAGAAGAAAGTGGTTAATAAGAGACATGTACAAGATGTTTTTCCATTAAAATCACAAGAAAAACAAAATTTCAGAAGGCTCTGAAATGGAACTGGGTAGATCTGGACAGATTGACTGGATGTCTGACATTTGGGCTTCAAAATCAAGGAAAATTGCCATGTGACACTGGAACTGTAAGATCTATATAGTTCAGAACTGAATCCGATCGTGACCAGCACCAGAAGTTTGAGAGGATGGTAGGCAAATGTAGGACCGCTTTTTCCTGTGACTTACTAGAAATGGGAATGAGTCCTATTTAGAGATTGGTTTATATCCTGAAACACAGTGATGAATAGCCCTTCCAAATTTTTGTTGTGATACTGCTTGATAGCCTTATAAATATCCCATTCTCTTTTGAATCTTAAGTTCTTGATGCCAGTGACTTCCTGTGGCAGTGAGTTTCTCAGTTTAATCACATGATCTGACCCAGCTTTCTTATATAAAGAAGTTTTTCCTTTTATTGTCTTTGAATTTCCTACCTTTTAGGGCCCCTCTACACATGCAGGCAAAGGGGCTGGAAGTGGGTGTGCACTAAAGGTGCACCAATACATTGGTCCGCTATCAGATTGGCACCAATATAAAGAAAATTGACTATTTTGGAAATTGGCCTGAAGTGGCTGATAATTTGTCCAATAAATGCTTGTGTATGCATGCAGTTGCAGCACACAGGCAGCAAGGAGCACAAGCCCAGCAGTTTGGAGAGCTGCGTCCAGCTGGTGGAAGGCGATGGGGGAGGGAAGGGACATGGAGGGGGTCAGATCAACGCCCCCCACGGTGAGGGAGGGAGTGGGGCACGGCCGAGGGTAGGCACTGCCCAGTTGGGGCGAACGCAGGACAGAGTCGTGACTTGTCCGGGGGGTGGGCAGAGGGGGAGGGGAAGGGTGGCTTCCACCACTGTGCGTCATTCGTCTGGCAGCTCATCCCACCACTGCTCCCGCCGCTTGGCTCCAGCCCACAGCTGCAGCCCACCCTGCTCCACCCTGCCCCATGCAGATCTGGGGGCATGCCCCCACCCCCCCACCCATGCCCTTTCGGACAAGTGGTAGGAGCTGCTAGATGAACAGTGTACAACAGTGGGAGCCACCTCCAACTCCCTGCGCCCCCTGGATGAGCCATGGCTCCATCCCGCACCTGCCCCACCCTGGCTGGGCAGCCCTAGCACCGCTCCCTCGACACGGGGGGGCTTTGATCTGCTCCCCCTACACCCCTTCCTTCACTGTCCCCTTTCACCCAAACAGACTTACCATCTAGAGTCAGCTGTATTGGAAATCAGATCTGTGTTGGCCTATATGCCTCCTTACAAATAGGTTATTAGTATCAGCCCCCAAAACATTTATCAGTGCACCCCTAGTGTGCACCCCTGTGGCTGAAAGCCCCTCAGTTAATGGGCCTCCCAGCCACAGGGGGGCATCTGGCCACATGTTTAATTAATGGCATGATTAGAACAAGCTACAAAGTTATTTCACATTTTTTGTAGAATAACTTTTGTCGCTTATTGCTTGCTTTATGCCATTAATTGGCTGAATGTGTAGCTGAGCACAACTTAAGGCATGATTACCTAGTTAATCATGCCATAAGTGTAACATGTAGAGGGGGCCCTTGTTTAATTCTTTATCAAAGTTCCTGATCTATGTTCTCTAAACCAGTGGATCCCAAACTGTAGCCCATTAAGTATTGGTGGTTTGCGACCACATATTAAGGGCTCTTCAGATCAATTAAAAGTTTGATGACAGGTGTTCATCATGGTCTGTGAGATATATTGAGAGATGATAGTGGCCTGTTGCTCCAGAAAGGTTTGTGAACCACTGCTTTAAACCATTGCTGTTTTATAATAACCTTCTGTCAAGTTCCTCTTATTCATTTCCTTTCTAAAGCCTGTGTCAAGATAGCTCTGAAGAAAAATGTTTTCATGGGACCTTTTAAAATAAAACCACTGAAGTTTGAACAATTGTTATAACAAAGTAAGAGTTTGTCAGAGCTTAGAAGTTTATCATCATGCTTATACTGGTATACACGGGTCAATTTTCCACCTGCAGGCAAGCCCTACTCCAGAAATCAGCATGTGGCTTTCCATTCCCTTTCTGTGAAAAACAGAACAAGTACCAAAATCCTCTTGCATGATTATGATGCTGAAAAATCATGATGTATTTTGCAAGTATCAGAAGAGCCATAAATGGACGCAGGCAAGGGTGGACCCGGAGAGGGTGCAGTGGCACAGACACATTCTCTCCCCCCCACCCCACCTTCAGTCAACACTGTGGGGACAGCAGTCAGGAGCTAATTTTTAATTCCTTGAAGGAAGTAAGACTTCTCCTCCTCCTTTACCTTTATGGTACACCCCATCCCCTCCCATTTCTCCCCTTCCCTTGTTGCTTTCCCCACTGCTTTCCATGCTGACACGGGGGCGGAAGGACTTCACAGACGCTCCTGCCCTGTTCCAGCCAAGCTCCATTGTGAACTGGGCTCAGCCAAGGACAGCAACATCAAGCAAGTCCCTCCTGGTGTTTTCTGCTAGCCCAGGAGCAGGCATAGGGAAAGGGATCACACCCACTTCCACTGCTGTCTCTGGCCAATTCTAGCTCCCCACTCAGCCCAGCCTGAGCAGGTCAGGAGCAGCTTGTTCCATGCCCTTGTGGGAGCTGGGGACAGTAGTAGTGGCAAGTGAAAGAAGAGGGAAACATGGAGGGGAGGGGATGTGTCACTGAGCACAGAAGGGAAGGGAGGGGACTGACAGTGGAGGGAAGATTCTTATTTGATTGGAAGACCTTGTTCATTCTGTGGAGTATCCCTGCTTGGTTCTGGGAATGCTGGATCTTCACATCCCCTGGTGTTGGGAGGAAGGGGTTCTGTTCTGTTTCTGTGGCTTTGTTTAAGCCTATAAAGATGGAAGGCATTTGCAAAAACCAGATTCAGAGTTGGATGTCAAGTACTGTGCCAAAGGTTGGGGAAGTTTGATGCAGTGTTTTTGTTCTCACTTGCCTCTGGATAACTTATTATACTATTTCATTAAAAAATATTTACAGTTGCTTGTGTGTTTAAATCTTTTTGAATGAATACCAAACTCTCTGGTTTCTAGGTTTAATATAAAACTGAAAATAACCTCCAGTTTTCACAGAAACAACCACTTTTGGTTAGTCATATATATCAGGCCTACCCAGATTTCTTTGAGGAGTCAAACACAATGGGAGTCCCTGGGATCTCAGGGCCTGTGCCATTTTTGGCACAAGCCTGCCCAAAGTAGGAAGAAAATGCTTGGGCATAGAGGAGCACAGACAGCTCACTCAGAGGGTAGCTCTAGAGCAGGGGTGAGCAAAATATAGCCCACGAGCCACATCTGACCCATGGAGGGACTTTGTCCGGCCCATGGCAGGTCCTTTGCTCTCACCTGGCCCAAGCAACATCCATCCCGTGGTGTGCCCTGCTACTCTGTGGGCACGCAGTGGGGCTGGGGCAGCTCTGCAGCTGGATTGCTTTTCTAGGCAGCCCGAGCAGTAGCAGATCATTCTGGCTGATGCTGCCACTGGCCCCATCCCCATGGTACTGGTGGAGACACACAGAGCCCTGACCCCAGCCTGACCTATGCCCACTCCAGACTAGGCTTAGGAGGGCAGATCAGCTTTGGACCATCAGAATCCATGCACACAGTCCTGCCACAGACA